GAATTGTTATCAATGGTTAACTGAACTTGTTTTGTTTCAATAAAGTTTGCTTATTAATGCGAGCCAAAAAATTCTAAAACAGACCAGTACGGCACAACGCTACAGTGAATGTGTTAAATGATATTTTGATGTTTTTCTAAAATAATTAGTGCATTCTTTTAATACACTACGTCATATTTTTTTTTAACGATCCTTTTTGCTGTATAATGTTTTTTCTTTTAAAATTCATTTGTCTTTGAAATTTCTAAAGGAGGGAAGCCCGTTGGAAAAATATATTTTCCTATATCATTTCAAAATATAGAGAGAAAACAAAGAATTACTTTTCAGATCAAATGCGTTTTTAAAAATTTTTCTTTTTGTTTGTCAATAGTAAAAAATCACCCACGAGTATTATGTAACTTCTGAGAAATTACCTTGTTTTACTAACAATTTATTGGAGCGTTTGTTGTAGTCGAAAGACTTCAATAAACAGTTAACGGGTCTGGCCACTTGAAAAAAAAAAAAAAAAAAAAATAGCTTGTTGAAAGGAAATATGGACATAATGGCTTCAATGCCAAATCACAATAAGAACAAAAATAAAAAAATAAAAAATAAATAAACAAAAAAAACAATACAAAATATTTTTTAGAGATTGAGTGTCAACTTTGTAATCGGAATAAATTTATTTATTTATAGAACCGTTAGCGAGGATCAAACTTTCCTTCTGTAGTGTTTGAAACCAATATGTTAAACTTATCTATTAAGTGCTTTCAAAATAACTAAATATTTGCTTTTTAAATTCCGCAACATCCCTTAATTGTTATCAAAAGACGGGAAATGAGCCCGGTTCATACTCCTTTCCCGTCTTTTGAACAAGACGTGAGGATAGCCATCGTTTCTCCGTTTAGGATTGGGTTCTAGGTTCCGTCTCGTAAAGTCTTTTCATTTTTTTCATTTTCACAGATTAAAGCGATTATTAAACAATAACCCTTGCGTCTTAGTGGCAGTATTGTCTTTCTCGGCGAGAATTGATTAAAATAAATAAAAAATATGTACAATGTACACAATGCCAAGATAACGAGGAAGAAGATTGTGTTGAGTCTACTTCCCAAGTGGGAAATGGCTTACCTGCCTCAAAAAGGAAAAAAAAAAAAGTCGAAATCTTGGCATTTATCTGAACCAGTGTCACCAGTGGGAAATATAGTATTAGGTATAGGACAGGCCTAGAAATGTTTTCAGGTTCATTTAATTAAAAGAAATTCAACAAATTCAGTCAAAATAACGTTGTTTTTTTTTTTTTTTTTTTTAAAGATCTAGGCATAATGTCAACATCATAGATAACAGCACCGGAGGTTTAGAGAGCTAGCCGGGAACGGTGTTTTCGGACTGACACTCTCCGGGCGGAGAGGAAATCAGACGAGGCTTTGCCTACGGGCAGAGTCTTGTCTGGAGAAAAGTAGACAGACAGTTTACGGAGAATTTTTGCCTGAGTGTACGCGCTAGAAAGGTTCAACATTAAAAACCGATCTGGGGCCACATCCCGCCTTCTGGGGAGGCTTCGGGTAAATACCGAGATTTAGCACCGGTTATCAGGTATCATTTGGCGGTGGTGGTGGTTGGGGGGGGGAATCTACATATTCAATAGGACAAATTGGAGGGAAAAAAAAATGGTCCTATGACGCGTTTCACCAGTTAGAATTTAATCGGACTGAAACATGTCACAAAACCTTTTCACATCTTGCGGCCTCAGCCGAGATTGAACTCACCAATACTTTGATTGGTGTAGTTCATAATCTTGTCAAATAGCTGAATTCTTGATGCTTCGCTAGGGCTATCAAGGGTGTTTTTATCGTGACACCAACACTAAATGGATTGCCAACCAAGGCTCAGAGAGACTCCATTCACCCTCCTCTAAGAGCAGGTTTGAATTCAGAGTTTTCCTTCTCCTAGACCAGTTGCCATCTAAGGCTATAGAACCCAGTCTGTCCTGCTATTTACCCATAGCTGGAGAGAGAAGAGGATTCACACCTTTCCCAAGGGTGTTAGGACGTAAGTGAATGTAATGGATTCGACTGGAATTCGAACTCTGCTCTCCGATTCCTCAATCCAAGCCGCTATACATTACTCCACCGTGCCTTCTTTTACAAGTTGTCCCTTATATTTTCTAAATATTGTTTGTTGATAATATGTCATTTTGTATAATTTTATGTTATATCATATTCAATATACAGGTTGGCCCGAAAGTTCTATACCCCCCGCCCCATCACCCTCTCTTCCAAACTGTAAGAGCTCGTGTCAGCCATCGGAAATAAAAAATTATGTTGGGGTGACAAACCACCCCTGTACTAATATAAGCTACAGAACTTGAAATTCTTTCTCTTGCATCTATATTTTATTATACACCTTTGTAGCTATAATAACTGTTTATCCTCTTACTCTGCCTTCCTAGCTGTTTTACCATTCATTTAAACAAGCTCGTTAAGAGAGTTACTCGTAGTTTTCCTCTTGTCTTTAATATGTCCTGTGAGTGTCACATTCTCCCAACCCTATTTCCTCACCCTGTGTCTCAGAAATTGCACCTGCCTCTTTCAGATTGTAAGCATTTTTTTTTTTTTCATAAATCATTTCACCCCAGGCAAGGTGAAATTACCACTAAGACGTAAGGAACTATTGGGAGTGAAAGAAAATGAGAATACTTTAGAAGGAACCTGAAACCCAATCCCAGACAAAAAATCTCTTCTGTTCAAAAGACCGGGAAGAAATGTGAAGCAGACGATAGGTGTCTTTTTTTCTTTTTTTTTCATTGTTCCTTAAAGCTTCCTCGTTGCTCACAGGCTATGGCATTCTCAGCGTCTTTCTGTACAACTATTAAAATTATTGCCTCAAGACTCCTCTTCATCAGTAAGGAAATGTCCACCATTCATTGGTATTACATCACAGTCCAGCAGTCTTTATTTTTAACGAAATTCTTCTGTTAATAGATTTTAGCATTTGGAATACAGATTTCGTTATTCCAAATGGGCCTTTGGTGTCATTTTCCACCCGTTAAAAAACCTCCCAGATATGTGAATTTCTATGCTAGCGCGATTTTGACATCTTCATTTCGTAAATTAATGTTGAAATCTTTGGCTGCAAAGAAACATCCCGTGAAACAATGATAAACGAGTTAATTCGATAAACACTACAAGAGTAATGGGTCTATTAAAAAAAAACAAAAGACAAAAAAACAAAAAAACAAAAAAAAAACGATATGTACTTGTGGCACAAGGCCGAGGGGAGAGGGTGGAAAGGCTAGTTATCATTTGCTATCTTACTCCTAAGTAGTTCTAGTCACGACCCATTCATTCTAACCACAAGAACACATCCTTCTCCATTCATTTCGGACATGTACCAAAATACCGCATTTTCACAGAGGGTGGGGGAATTCTGAAGATATATATTTACTTTTTTTTTTTCCTCCCCAAAATATAAAAAAAAATGCGATGTGCAGAGGGAATATTTACAACGGTATGAAAGTGGAGAGGGAGAACTCATCTAACTAAATTTAAAATAAAATAAAAAGTAAACTAAATACTTAAAAGAAGTTTAATCCTTTAGTAAAATACCGTCCAACCCCCTCCCCAACACACACAAAAATGTGACCGCTGTATTCTGGCGACAGACAGAATCAAGAAGCTCACTCGCTAGTGGAGAGGGCAAAACAAGTTGGAAGTGAAAGAAAAAAAAATCCCGTTATAACTGCGCTGCCCCCCCACCTTCGCACGACCGTTATGTCCTGCCAATACATAAAAAATGGCCTATTCATTTTTTTTTTTTTTCGCGAAGAGGGAATAAGACTATTTGGTTTCAGTGAGAGAAAAAAAAATGTTTATAATGTCTCATCATAAATAACGAACTATTCCGTTTTGATAAAAATTTATCAGTGACTATTTTGGTTTGTGAGAAACTGAATATAGACAAGGGTTTAACGCCTGTTTCAGTGAAATTGGGAAAAAAGTTGTGAATTTCAGATCATTTATACACTCTTAAAATAACGACCACCATTTTTCTAAGCTTACATGTGGCACAAGTCCGAAAGTATAGGGAACTCTGTGAGGATCGAACTCACTACTCAATTGTAATAGATTCTAGTGAAGCAAACTTGCTAAACATTATACCACGTCGGAACGCCCCATCATTCATATTTATAATTTTAATTGCAATATTTAACGATGAAATAGGCCAATTTCTATGGCTATTTTATTTTCGTAGAACTTGCCATGAACTTACGCAATCATTAACTGAAGAATTTAGGATTAAAAATAGGAAAACTGAAATCAAAGAATTATATTAATATTTGCAACTGCATGTAAATGATAGATAAAAGGAACTGTATTAATGAAAAATTAAAAAAGGTCATTTTTCGTTTAAGTGGAATAATGGATAGTGGCTCGGATGGAAGAATCGGAGAACCGAGTTCGAATTCCAGTCGAATCCATTACATTCACTTACGTCCTAATACCCTTGGAAAGGGTATGAAGCCTCTTCTCACAGCTATGGATAAAATAGCAGGCCAGACTGGGTTCTATAGTTTTGGATGGCAACCTACTGCGGGAAAAAATCTGCATCGTCAGTCATGTATCAAAAGATACATGATCACCTAAGAGTGTATCACGCATGGCACATAACTGACAATCTCAGCCACGTTCATTACAGAAGACCATAGGTGTAAGCATCTGCCTTCGAAATGAGAATTTATTCCTGAGGAAAATATTTGTATCTATGATAAAAACAATTGAAGTTTTTGTATTATCACTGGCGACAGTATGATGCCCAAACTATCACGTGATGTGTTTTATGAATTCATTTGACTATCGTATATAGTCACTGTCATGCATAGTACGATCCCAAAATGGTGAGAAAAAGCCAATTACCGTAAAATTACTTGACTCTGGGTCTGCTTCTTATGTAGGTAGGTTAGGGTCACTGAAAATTCTTGCCCTCCAGAAAAACATTTACCTGCGTATAGTGCAACCGCTCACCGAAAATGCATTTGAGAGAGAGACAGAGACAGACAGAGACACATAGAGAGACAGAGACAGACAGAGACACATAGAGAGACAGAGACAGACAGAGACACATAGAGAGACAGAGACACATAGAGACACATAGAGAGACAGAGACACATAGAGAGACAGAGACAGACAGAGACACATAGAGAGACAGAGACACATAGAGAGACAGAGACACATAGAGAGACAGAGACAGACAGAGACACATAGAGAGACAGAGACAGACAGAGACACATAGAGAGACAGAGACAGACAGAGACACATAGAGAGACAGAGACACATAGAGAGACAGAGACAGACAGAGACACATAGAGAGACAGAGACAGACAGAGACACATAGAGAGACAGAGACACAGACAGAGACACAGACAGAGACACAGACAGAGACACAGACAGAGACACATACAGAGACACAGACAGAGACACATAGAGAGACAGAGACACAGAGAGAGAGAGAAACTGATTGTAAAAACTCGCACGATACTCTACGTTATACAAGAAAAAAGAATATAACCTCTACAGACAAAAAGAATCAAAGTTTTCCGTTTCTAAAGCAGAAAATGTTCACAGTCTTGTCTCACATCACCATGGTTTAAAATGCTGATGGGTTGCAAAATTCAAGAAACATTATACTTCAGTGATACATGGTCATCTGTGAGTGAATAAGAGAAAAAGATACTATATTTACATGAACGTTATTTTTTCTCATGAAATTAAGCGTGTCATTCAGAAAGAGAAACGGACTACTTGCGGCCGACATCTTGCCAATAACTGTTTGAAATATTGACGTATTTTGTAAGAAAAAAAAATCAATAAAGTTAAATCCTTTTTCATTAAATCTGCGAGACATTTGAAAATAGGGGGTAGTTTTTGTTTTTTTCCTTTATACATGTCAAATGTACCGGTCTCCGTGGCTTAAGCTCTTTTTTAATAATCGAGTGACACTTGTTTACTGATAAGTTAGATCTGTTTAACTAGCATCGCTATTCATTGATTTTAATGAGAGAAAAATAATAATGGAGGCTGAAGAAAAAAGGTTTTTTTTTTTCATGAATGCAAATATAAAGTTCTCTAAACCTTTTTGCTTTTTAGCAGGAAAGACTTTCTACAGTGATAAGTATTCAATGCTATTAAGAAAAGTTCTTTAAAAGTGTCAGGAGATCAATTTGATTATTTTTTGTTGTTGTTGTTGTTTTTGCGTATTAACTTTAAGCTATTATATTTCAAATAAAAATCACTATTTAACTTCAAAGACAACATTTTAACAAACGTTTTATAGAAAGCCCGTTGAGACTCGCAGGTTTCATTTGTAAGCGATGCAATTCTTTTTTACCCACTTATAAGTAAACCAACCAATATAAACCAATTAATAATTATAATAATTGATAATACAATCCAAACTTCGTATATATTTTCAAACCTTCTGACAAATTATTATATCTTTATTCACGCTCCTCTGTGTTTTACGGCATTTGATTATTAAAACATATATATGGTATTGGACAAAAAGGAAAACTAAATGAACATTTATCTAACACTTCATAAACTGACCACAAGTGCAATTACTTATTTCTTTCTCTCTGCCTATTTCCTTGGCGATGAATACCTAGTAAATAATGATTATAATTATTATAAATGGTATTATAAATACGCAAACATCGTAGAGTCTTTCATGTCGAACTTACATTTGGTTTTCTGATTATATTTGCCAGCCACATTAATCTAAGGTAGGTACCTCCACAAAAAACAAAAACAAAAAAAAACAAACAAACACAGCATGATGAAAAAGGCCCCAAATTTAAAACAATTTCAGAAAAGTATATTTTATTTCTGGAAGATTTTTAAAACCGAGTATTACCTTTTGTTTACAAATGAATTAAAAGAAAAAAAAAGTTGGAGATTCTAATTAATATAATTTCTATTTGAAATGGAGTTTTTGATTACTGGAAATACTAAATTTAATCATTTAGCTTTCAATTAAAGCTAAAAAAGAAAGTTTTATCATTTTTAAAAATTCATTTTAAAACTTAGATAGCAAAAATTAGTGGAAGTACCTAAAAGGAAGTTTAGTAGTGTGTGTAAAAATTCAGATATAAATAAAATATTTGTGAAAAGGCGATATGAGTAAAGACAAAAGTAAAACATTTTTAACCAGCGCGTTTCGTCCTATGATATACTTTAAGAAAATGAATGTCAGTGTTCTATTTTGCAACGTGATATATATATATATATATATATATATATATATAAGAGAGAGCTAATTAATGCAAGTAAAAGGTTTGTCAGCTGATTGATGTTACCGTCAGCATCGCGACACCAGAGTTTCATAGACGGTCTCGTCCATACACTACTTCTGTTTGTAAATACATGTTGCAAAATAAAATCCTTACATTTTTAGTACCTTGATAAAGTTCAGTGGATGAATCAAACCGATTAGGATAAGTTGTTTTTCTTTTGTCTGCCATAACGTAAATAAAGAGTTTAGACTTTAATCGGATATTTTTTTAATTTTTAAAATCGCAATGAATCGTAAGATGCACGCATCAAATAAGTTAACATTTCATTAAATAGTTGCTTAAGATAAATTACTTAACGGTTTCTCAGTGTTACAAATGTTTGCTTCTCTTACCGACTCCGTCTGAGTGAGCAAATATGTTTAATCAAATACTAATAATTGTAGAAGCAAAAAAAAAGATAACGAGATGACATTCCCTCTGTGACTCACGTTCATTTCACAGGGTGAAGTATTTGTCAATCATTTTGCGTACCGACATAAAACGCGTCACTCAAAAGATTTGTTTTTAAAATTCCAGATGTTATAAATAGGGACAAACAAATTAATAACTTGTGTCTTTAATTCTGGACATATGGATATTTATTTAATACAAAAAGAAATATCAGAATGTAGGAAAGTCTTTGAAAATGTCAGTTTATAGTTTCCTTTGCGTGTTTTAATGGCAATATTTTAAAAAGTTGATTTTCTTAAACAAATTTGTTCATTTTTAAGCCATTTTTTTATATTCAATATTTTTAGAAAACGCATGTTTTGAAAAAAAATAAAAATAAAAAAAAAAAAAAATAATTTTATTCGTTTTTAGAAAAAGCATATTTTGAAAAAAAAAAAATAATCTTATGCGTTTTTCGAAAACGCATGTTTTGAAAAAATAATTTCATGCGTTTTTCGAAAACGCATGTTTTAAATAATTTTTTTTTTTTTTAATGGTATACGTTTTTAAATTCTTTGCCGTCGTACTATGACATACAAAAAGGTGCGAGTAAGAGTAAAATATTCACTTCAATTATTTTTATGAAGTTAAATTTCAACAAAATGCAGTGATGTTAAACTTTGTTTTTGTTTATTTTTAAAAAATGGTTATGAAAAATGATTCTGAATTACTTCGTTATTTTTCATTCATAGAGATAAAATTAAATTGTAAATAAAATAATTTTAAACTAAAACTTAATACTTTTTGCTTTCATGTTTTTTATATTATAAAGTGTTCATTTTTTTGTATATTCAATATTAATAATTTAAAAAAAAAATGTTGGAATAAAATAATTTAATTATTTAGCATATACGTTAAAGTTCTCGGCGCAACCAAGAATCTTATAAAAATGTCGGTGTTTTGGTAGATTTAGGTCTGGCCGAAAACCTTTCAGCACTCCACAAGGTGTGTGTGTGTATGATTTCTTTTACACCAGATTTTCATTTTTCACTAATCTTTGTCAATGCACTTAACCTAATGCTTCTTCAGTGATCATCTACGATCGATACATCTAATATAAAATTATGTCCGTCTGTCAGACTTTCTAAAATAGCCATACATTGCCAATCGAAACTAAATTTTTGGAAGAAATCCAAAAAGACAAGGTGGATACAAAGTACTGAGCCATCTGAATATCCTTTCAGATGAAAAAGAATCCAGTTTCCATTTCGCCCTGCGTTTGTGAGAACTATAAACAAATCACAAGACCAAACGCTTCAAAAAGTTGGAATTTGGCTCCAGAGAGACATATTTACGAATGCATATTCCATCTATATCTGAGATGATGTATTATGATTAAACGTTCTGAATATGGCAATGAAGATGAGGATAACACTCCGAATAACGTAAATAATGCATGGAAAGTTGCATGTTGCATCCTCAAGAGTAAGAAATCCTAAGAATTTATTCTTCGCTTTTAAAAAGGTAAACGGAAAGAGAAATGTTCTTAAAATATATTGTTTACCATGAAATCTTATAAAACCATTGTAATTAGTAAACCAAAGTAGTTTTTTTTTGTTAAAGTATTTTTTCCAGACAAATTAGGGTTAGGATATTGCAAACAATTCTAATACTGAAAATTTCGAATCAATGTAGATCCAATACCTTTGACAGACTGCCATCTCATTGATCCAACTTTTCACATACACACACGTGAAATTCGCAAGAGAATCAGTTTTGGAGAGCGACACACACACACACACACATATATATATATATATATTAATGCACACGAGTAGTAGCATCAACGTAAACAAACTTGGTTTGATGATGTTCTAAAGGACGAATCTCGTTACGCGAAAACTTTTACCCACTATGTCATACAGCTTCCCTATATTTCATTAACTTCCTGTATTACCTTTAAAATTGCTTCATTTAAAAACTTAAATTTTATCTATGAATTAAAAATAATGAAAGCATTTCAATATTTCTTCATAAGTATTTGCAAATAATGGTTTTGTTTATTTTTAATTAACTTTCTATAATCATTAATTGCTTAACATCAATGCTTTTGTTAATTATTTAATTTGACTTGTGACTGTTCATTGACCCCACCCACCGTCCCTAAAAACAAAAAAAAAAAAAAAAAAAAACTGATTTTAAGAAGTGGGTCGGACCAACAACTTTTCTGTATCCCTTCGTAAGTTTCCACCCCCAACTCCCTTATGACATATCCTTTCAGGGCGTAGACGATCATGACAGTCCATATTAATTTTCTTTATTATCTGTGAATTGCTATAACTTCCAGCGAAAATGCTTTCCCGTTGCCTTCTACACGTTTTAAATTTGGAGTTAGCCCCTTACAGACTAGCTGTTACCCTAGGCTAGAAAACCCATACCTTTTCCAAGGACAGTTGTGCGAAAACTGACTAAGCAGATATTAGAATGTGAATCGCCGATTCCAATTTCGGCGCTGATAACCGTTACGCAAGCATTAAGTCCCTTTTTTTTTTATAAAACCATAAACTTACATTCCCATAGTTTATGTACCATATACGTTTTTGTATAAGTTACAGAAGAACGTGTGCGCTCACATTTATAAGGGTGTGAGACATCCACACAATTCAGTTTGCTTATATATCAGTAGGTGTACTTGTGTGATAGGATGTAAATCAGATAGCGAGATTTATGGGTGTGTATGACGTACAAGGTGGTGCTGAAGAGACAGATTTCTGGGAAATGGATCGGACTGAGTCAGTCCGATCCATTTCCCAGAAATCTCTCAATGACCAGGCATCAAATTATTGTTTTTTGGGGGAAGTGGGTCGGATCGAGATCTTTTCCAGCACCCCTTCGTGTATGTACGTCGGACGAGTGGGTGTACATTTGAGCAAGAATGCGTGTGCCTCAATAAAATGTGGGTGTGTCTGTTGCCTGTATGTGTTCTCAACATATTTATATTTCCTTCTCCCTCGAGGAGAAACGTGGGAAGATCTGAAAGTAACCTAAAAGTCGTGTCGAAGGGTGTGTATATATATATATATATATATATATATATATATATATATATATATATATATACACACACACACACAATATCTGACAAAATGTTTAAATTAAGAACATGTATGAAAACTTGTCAGTTTGACAGGTTTTACTATTTTATTCTAGCTTTAGAAGTAAAGGGGAAATTATGCTCAAACTAAAAAAAAAAAAAAAAAAAAAAAAAAACATCAAATTTGTTTTTCCTATTTGTTATTACATTAACAGATGTGTATATAAACTCATCCCAAATTAGTTTTCAGACGCACAAAAAAAAAAAAAATCGCTTCTTTCAAAATTTTCAAAGGCAATTCAGTATGGAGAGTGGCGCGAAAATTTCTAATGCGAAAACTTGTAAAAGGCCCAGTCAAAAAAAAAAAGAAAAAAAAAAAGACATTTAATCCTAAAAAGTAATCAAAGAGATCAAATAAAATTAAAGGTTTTAGGCAAATAAAATGTTATATCTATTCAATAGTTTTATTTACTACATGCATAACACAAATACTAGCAAATTTACATGATTTTGTAATAATCTTTGGGGCCCAACGGGAAATTTCCCGGTATCCCGATTGGCCAGCCCTCAACTGAATCTGGAATAAAACAGTAAATAAAATTATATAACTGAAAACTTTGCTAAAGCGAATCGTATAATAAAGATTTGGGAAAACTTTAAGAAAATGCAGACGATATCTCATAAATCAAATTACTTATTGAAAATTAGGGGCCTACAAACATGCTAAACATTTTCTAACCTAAGCAAACTTTGACAATTTATTTAACATTATCTCAATGATGTAGAAAATAAGTTTTTTTTATCATAAAACGTACGTACGTACATACGCCTTATTTTGTGTGCGTGTGTTCGTAAGCATTTTTTGCTGGTAGTAACTAAAATTGACTGTTTTACGCCAAAGTACTAGTAATGCTAATTATGTTTATCATGGTGGGTACAGATTGAATTTGTACGTATGCACCACAAGAAAAAAAAAAAAAGTTTTCAAATTGCGTTACACACATTTAGAATTTAATAAAAGAACGTCGCTCAACGTCATTTGCATAAATGTTAGAAATCTTCGTACACGACGACAATTGAACTCAGAATAATGAAATGATCTTAGATGCACGACGGCGACGCTTACTTGAAATAATATAACGTAACGAGCAGTAGAAATTTCTGACCTTAATTCGTTTTACTTTTGTGAAAAAATGCAGCTTTTACATCTTAAAAGCAGGGGGGTAATAAATGTAAGCAAGCGTTTGGATATATAGAACGTAGCAAAGGGAATACGATGTCTCGTTATTAGCTTTAGAAGAAAAAATTCCAGAAAATTAGTAGAAACCATATTCTCATTCTGGTAACATTTAGAAAAAACTGGATAAGCATAATAAAAACATTTTTGCCAACAGTGTATTTATTAGTAAGCGGTGTGATCATCTATTTAAAAAAAAAAAAAAAAAAAAAAAAAGGTGGGTGTGTTCGTGGCTAGAGATTGCGTGTGTGTTTATAATACAATGGTTTATGTGTCAAGTGTGTGAAACTTGACAGTGATACAAGAGAATTCAAGCCTGAAAAGGACTTTTTTCACCATTCAGCGCTTTCTTTAAATGTTCAAGTCAAAATGTCTAAAGTTTTAGTTAATATTTTGTGACAGTGACAAAAGTTTATCTGGCTTGTAATTGAGATGCGAGTGAGAGAAAAACCGATATTATGTAACTTCAGAAAATGTAAATTAAATATATGTTACATTCTAATATACGTTAGGAAATAGAGAAAATATCTTTTACGTTATAGTTTTGATTCGTTAAGAGAAAAAAAAAAAACACGAGATTAGGGGAACCAGGAAGTAAATGTAGAAGAAAAAAAAAATCTTTTAGATACCAAGTTCCAACAATACGCTGCCAATCCAAGTAGAGTCTGAGCTTCGTAGAAGTGGCTAAAATAAAAGCCTAAACTGGACATAAATTGTTAAAATTTATGCTGTTTTTTTTTTTTCTTTTTTAAGGATACCTAAAAATACGAAACTTAAGCTCTAAAAAAAAAAAAAAAAAAGTAATTGTAACACACACATATTATATACACACACTTTACGATTGTCAATATTCAAAAAAGAAAAAAGTTTAATGCGTACAGCTATCATTCATGAATATTAATCAAATTGCGTAAAAAACTTCGCGTATACTTATATACTGACCTGGAGCCAGACAAAAGTGACCTAGTAATTGGCAGCCAAACAGCTGCTTATATATATATATATATATATATATATATATATAACGATGTATGAGAAAATATTTCTCACAAGTGGCAAGAATCTAAAACGTTTAACAATTCGACAAAAAAAAAAAAAAAAATGTCCACCTTTCCTGGGAAAAAGTTGCTTTTTGGAATGTGTGTAAAAAAAAAAAAAAAAAAAAAAGGGCGGTGCTATTGGCAATAAATGGCCTTGGATTTTTTTTTAATTCTTCAGACTTTAGAGAAAGGGAAAAAATAGGGAGAGACATAAAAGTAAAAGAATCACGAACAAAAAAAAAAAAAAAAAAAAAAAAAAAGTAGTTTGGCAAATATTAATTCTTGGAAATTGAGCTCGACATTTACTGACTTGGTTTTTAACACAAAAAGAGCGACTATCATAAAGAAAGTGATTTGAAAAGTTTCAAGAATTCGTGTTTCGACTTGCCGTTTCATTACATTCCATCATATATAAAACTTCAGAAATTATTTTGCAAAGTGTAGAAAAAGTTCAAAAATGATCTGAAAGAAATATCTAGACTGACATATCTTTTTTGTGTAAATTGATTACTTAAGAAGAAGATTATACATGTACAGAATTATGAAAAAAGTAAGAATCTTTGTGGATACGTTTAAAAATGTATAACACATACCTTTTCCGTGACCGTATCGGTAAGGATAAAACTGTCGCAGGATTGCTCGGACGTTTTCTATTGTATATCTACAGATAGATCTACACACGTAGACTGGCCAAGAGGTCGCTACATTTATTCCAGCACAAGATTAACATTCTAAGCCTCTGGGTGAGATTGTAGGAAAACAGAGCAAGGATGATGTTAAAAGGTTCATTATTATTTTTTTTTAATTTTTTTTTTTGTTTTTTTTTTTTTTTTTTCCTTAAAATATTATAATTATTTTGTAGTTGATGTCTTCAGACAGCCTGTTGGTCGACACTTTACCACAGCGATATCAGGGATAGACGAACGAATAAAAAAAATAAAAAAATTTAAAAAAAAAAAAAAAAAAAAAAAAAGAAAAAAAAAAATATCAATATAGATAGAACTTGAAGGTACCTAAACATGAGGTTTCTCCGGGTACATGTCTACCTGACCACCATACCGTCGTCGTCAGCACAAGTCCTCGATTTTGTAGTAGTACTTCTATAGCTAATACCATTTCTACTGTAACTACTACTACTATTTGTCTAATGTCACAAGGGCCTTTGGCATATACAGAGATTCCAGCAACTGGTGAGAATGAATAAGCTACTACCAACCGGATACTTGTGCGCTGCTGCTGCTGTTGTTGTTACTGCTGCTGCTGCTTCTTGAAACTCTCTCCCTTTCTCTGACAGTCTTCTTTGACTCTTTTGTTTTTCTTTTTTCTTACCCCCACCGCGAAACTATTTAGCTTTCCTTTCATTCCCTCTTAAACATTCCGCCTTTTTCATTCATTCATTCACTCTTTCTCACAACGTATAACTCTTACTTTTACTCATTCTGTTTCTTTTTTTTTTTTTTTTCATCTCCGCCTCCCTGTCTTTGAGATTCTCTCTTGTAATCTTGTATCTCCCTCATCTGTCTTATCGCCTTTCTCTTTCTCTATCTCGTTTCATTTCCTTTTCTTTGGACCCCCCCTTCACTATTACCCCTTACGCCGTCATTTCACCTCCTTCACTTTCTTTTGTTTATTGTATCTCTCTTTTTCTTTCTTCGTCGGGTCTCTCATTTTGACCTGAGTCCCTCTCGATCCTCCTTTTCGACCCACCATTTTCGCCTCCCACTCTCGTTACTGTAACAACATTACATTATTATTTTTTTTTAAATTGATCTTGTTAGTTTCTCGTGCTTCCTTTTTTTTTTTTCTTTCCATCTTTGTCTGACCTGTCTCCGTTCCATTTTTCTCTATTTCCCTTACCTTTTTTTTTTATTTTATCTTTCTTTTCTTTTTCCGTCCGTCATCATTCTCTTCTTTTTCTTTACCTTTCCTTGTTCCGTTTTTTGCACTCTACCAATTAGCTCTTTATTTTTTCTTTCTCTCTTTCACCTTTTCTCTTTTCTTTCTCTCTTTCATAAACACTCTTTCTTTTCCTTACCTTACAACACGTTTCTTCCTTTCGACAATTAATATACGAGACTTACTATCTATTCCAGTCTGTTCATATCTATCTATCCCTAATACTGGCTTAACAAGTCAACAGGAAAAGTAATCAAATTGAGGCGAATATAGTTGACGATTACACACACGACGAGTGAGAAGACAGACACGAAATAAATTAAAAAAAAAAAAATAGGAACAAATTTAAAAAGTAAGATGGTGACTACCTATACGAATTCCTGTTTAAATTAAACCTCATTATAGGTTTTGGCTGACTCGGGTTATTGAACGTATTCGATGGGTTTGACCAGCAAGGAGAAGAAGAAGAAGAAAAAAAAAAAAAAAAAGACCACGAAGTACCTTTAGATTAAAAACCACACTAGCCGCAACTATCAGAAACATTTTTACCCGGACTGAACTATGAATGACGGCGACTGACCGACGATGGGAGTGAAAACCTTTACACCGTTCCTCGGAAACAGGGAAGGGCTGATTGACGACAGTCGGGACCCAGAAGAGAATCTGAAAGAATGTTTGAGGGAGGGTACTAGAGGGGTTGTTACTGCCTGCTTGCCTACCTTCCTTCCTTCCTTCCTTCTTTCCTTCCACTTTATTTATTTATATATTCATTTTATTTTATCTTTTTTTAGTTCTCACCGAATCTGCCATAGCTAGAGATCCTTACAGAGAAGCATGTATGGAATGTCCTATAAACCTGAAAGATGGGGGAGGGCTACCCAAAAACTCTTTTTTTTTTTTTTTTTTTTTTTAAATAGAGGGCTGCCTTGTCTACATCGACAAAGGCGGAGGGTGGTCGAATGAATTTGACTGACAGAAGAAGAAAGTGTAGCGGATAAATGCAGATAGAAATGTCTGCTATTAATTAACACCTAGAATATTTGCTAGCCCCGCAATCAGGAATCAATTGACAATTTCTGCCAATAATTTGTATTTGTCCGTGTTCGCCATCTGTCAAACGACATCTTTTTCGTCTTTTTAAAACTTTTCTAAGTTTATCAATAGTGATCAATACTTCTTACGCATTGATATAAAACTCATTGATTGATGATTTTACTAGAAGAAAAGGGATAAAAAAGGAGTAGAAATATGAAAGCGTTAATAAATAAAGAAACAAGCTGGTTGGTGGTAAAAGGAATAAGTCGGAAAGAGAATGGAGAAAATGAGAGATTGAAGGGAGAAATGAACGAGAGACTGAATACATGAATAAGACAAGGAAGGAATGAGTGAGAGACAATGAAGAAAGAAAGGGGCGAATGAATGAACGAATAAGAATTGTATGCAAAAATTAAAGAATAAAGGAATGAGAAAAGAATGTCTCGACTCAAGAGAATCAATGAACGAGTCGAAGAAAGAGAACGAAAATGAAAGAAAGAGTGAATGAATAAATCTGGCGAAAGAAGACTAAGTTGGGAAGTGAGAATGAAAAATTAAAAAAATAAATAAAAGAATGAAGGACTGTGGGAAAAGCAAATGAAAGAATTTACTGAAATGAATAAAAGACCCAGTTGGAGAGAGAGAGAAATAGTGAAGACGGGCGTACGAAAATGAATCGGTTTGGTAGATAAAAAAGAAGGAGCTGGGGAAAGAGAATGAACGGGTGAATGAGAGAGGCAGTGAAAGGGAACGATGAGGGGGGGGAATGAATGAAGAAACGAATAGGAAAGAATAGATGAATGAACAAGAGCGGAAATCGGAGAAAGAATGTACAGGAAAGAGAAAGAGAATAACAAAAAAAGATCATGAGAGAGAGAGAGAGAGAGAGAGAGAGAGAGAGAGAGAGAGAGAGAGACTGACTATGACAGTGAGTGAGAACGAGAAAAAGAGAACGAGAGATTTTATATAATTTATGTACAATCGACTTAGAACAAGTAGGAAAAAAAACGAATTTGAAATTTCGGCTTGAGAAATCTTTTATGTCCCGTAATCAGTGTTACATTCAGTATATGAAATATGTATACAGATGTAACAACTATTATGGGACAATTGGACTATCACCCCCGACCCACATACAAACCTTTTCTTTTCTTTTTTTTTAGCACGTGAGAGAGAGAGAGAGAGAGAGAGAGAGAGAGAGAGAGAGAGAGAGAGATGGAAAAAGTAAAGACCCTTTAGTTTAGGAATTCCTTCTCCTTTGTAGTATTCTGAGGGTATCTCCTTGCAAATACTTTTTTCGACGTCACTCGTGGTTGGAGCGGGGGTGAGACCCTAAAGAACCTTAAATTTTTTCATATATATATATATTTTTTTATTCTTCTGTACAACGTTCCGTTCCCACCACGCCTTCTTTTTCTGCCTTTCCATTTCATTTTTCTTCACCCCACCCACCGACACCGGTCACCCCACACCCCAGTTTAAGATCCATATAACTACATAACTTATCTTTACCAATACAACATGGGCGCTTGTGTCTGTGTGTCCGCAGGCGAATACATAGGAAACGCCGCACTATGAGGGTCCCTGACTGAGAGACCGTTCGCTAAAGCAGTAATAGCGGTCTTCATTGGATGCTCAACTCTGGCGGCCTTGTGCCAGACGGCTACACCCTAAGCATGTTTGCAAGTCTAGCGTTTGAATATCAAATTCTCGTTTATCCCGTAGAGGCAAGAGAAAACAAGGGGTCGACTCGGAGGGACAAAAATCCCTTCTCACAACAGCTGACCTTGTAAAATCCGCAATACTCAAGTAGAATAAAATTAAAGAAACAAATAATTATGCTTGTTTTCTCATGACAGTCAAATAATTCTTGTATCTGCTTCCATAAATGTATTATTCAGATATTACATTAACTACAAACGGATTTTCCTCAAAATTATTAAGTTATTAAAATTAGTAATACTTTTTACATCTACTTTATATATATATATATATATATATATATATATATATATATATATATATATATATATAGATAGATAGATAGATAGATAGATATAGATATATATATATGAAAAATATCTCAGAATTAACTTTTATTTTCTTTAATAAATTAATTTCGTTTTTGCCTTGAAATAGTCCACACTGGGACGAAACGCGTCGCCTAATATTAGTTTTCGTATTGTCTTTTACATACACACACACATATATATATATATATATATATATATATATATATATATATATATATGTGTGTGTGTGAATAAAGACATATATACGTATGAATAAAGACAAAAGGAAAACTTGTTGAGCTGATGCGATTAGTCCACTGGCAAATCAATATACTCCATCTGAATTTTGACACACACACACACATATATATATATATATATATATATATATATATATATATATATATATATAATGCGTGTATGTAAATATTAAAAGTGGAAATTGAGGTTAACACCAAGCGGCGTCAGTCTATTTCATGCTTAAACAGAATCGTCAGACCACGGCCTGACTGTTTATAATTACAAACGCTCTATTCCTGATATTGAACAATTTAACCCATAACTATAGCATTCCTTCAAATTATATATATATATATATATATATATATATATATATATATATATATATATATATATATACGTGTCTCTGTGTGTTAAATGATGCGTTGTTAATTTTTTGACCAGAATTACTTTCATCTTAATTTCGTTTTGTTTTTATAGCAACTATCAGATTATAGTCGATTAGTTAGCTGAACGACATACAAACTATTGTTGGAGTGTGTCGAATGTAAATCTGACAGAATAAAATAACAATGAATTAATATATAGACTCTGGTACGGTTTTTCCGAGGGCGCTGTTTCTATGCAAGTTGCAAAGATAGACGCGGGCGTGGTTTCTACGTGAGTCGAAAAAGTAAAGGCATGTGCGATTTCTACGAAAGTCGGAAAGGTAGAGGCGTTCGCCGTTTCTACGAGAGTCGAAAAGGTAGAGGCGTCCGCCGTTTCTACGAGAGTCGAAAAGGTAGAGGCGTCCGCCGTTTCTACGAGAGTCGAAAAGGTAGAGGCGTTCGCCGTTTCTACGAGAGTCGAAAAGGTAGAGGCGTTCGCCGTTTCTACGAGAGTCGAAAAGGTAGAGGCGTTCGCCGTTTCTACGAGTGTCGAAAATTAGAGGCGTTCGCCGTTTCTACGAGAGCCGAAAAGGTAGAGGCATGTGCGGTTTATACGTGAGTCGAAAAGGTACAGGCGGTCGCCGTTTCTAAGTGAGTCGAAAAGGTAGGGGTGTCCGCTGTTTCTACGTGTGTCGAAAAGGTAGAGGCAGGCGCGGTTTCTACGAGAGTCGAAATGGTAGACGCAATCACCGTTTCTACTAATGTCGAAAAGGTAGAGGCGTGTGCGCTTTCTACGTGATTCGAATAGGTAGAGGTGGTCGCCGTTTCTACTAGTGTCGAAAAGGTAGGTGCAGGCACGGTTTCTACGAGAGTCGAAAAGGTAGGGACGGACGGTTTCTACGAAATGCCCCAGTTAGCCACTGATTGGAGGTCCTTTTCAAGAGCAGCTGCCATATTTACTTTGTCAGGTCTGTCGGATTTGCAAGTAAGACAGGAATAATTGATTGTGTCATTTGCATAAATATCTAGTTCGTAATTGATAACATCGGGGAGATCATTGATGTAAATCAGAAACCGTGTAGGGGTCAAGGATAGAACCCTGGTGAACACCCGCGTTAATATAAAAACATCTGGAAGCAGCCCCGTTCAATACGGCCTTTATTGATCGATTCGTTAGGAACTGTTAGAATTAAGCCAAATCTCCGTTCCGTGACCCCGTCGCCCTAGAGCTGGCGTAGAAGGCCAACGTGTCAAACCTTAGATCGGAAAATATTTTCAAAATTTAGCACAAAGCGTCTCATTTTGGAGTAATGGTTAACAAGCTAGCCTTGCAGGTCATTACAAATTACTTGATTCTCTGCACTAGACTAGAAAGAACTCGCTACATGATGATGATTAGAAAACTTGTCTTACAGTAAAAACCTTCTTCTATATGCTATGTCCCTTCAGGAGTGAGTAATTGTTGTGGATTCCGAGATGAAATCCGGTCTCAAATGAATGACAAACGCAGGAATGAAATATAGCAAATAAATGTATTGACGCAATAATACAATTGGTAATACGGTTAGTAGATCCAGAAATGCGGTTAGTAGCAATGATAATATATATACAGTCTGTGAACTTCAGTATCGAAGTATGACTTCCTTCTGAGTCTACGTGCTCGCAACTGTGACTCCTACCAAGCGGTTACCTCACACACTTACTCTCTCTATTACTCCTACAAAGCGGTTACCTCACACTCTCACTTTCTCACTGTCTCACTGTCTCACTCCCGGGTATTCACCGGCAGCAGTACAAGTACACACTGGGCGAGTCCACTTGTATGAAAAAGGGGTGGACCCCTTAACAGTAATCATGGCTCTCTACACTTCCTTCTACTTTGTAACTTTGTAACTCCTAGTAAGGTTTATCTTTTCACTATCACTCCCCAGTTCCTGTCCGTCATATCCCTTTACGCATTTTGTTAGACATGTTACTCGTTGTTTTCCTCTGTTTCTCTCTCTCTCTCTCTCTCTTTTTTTTTTAAAGCGATTCACCCCAAGCAAGGCGGGAAGCCACAAGGACGCAAAGGGTTACAGAAGATTTAGAGCAAGATCAGATAGGAGTGATAGAGGAAAGGATGAGGAGAAGGATAGAGAATAGATCAAGGCAACTGGAGATGTCGATTGACATTACACTTGAATAGTTGGAGATTATAGCTCTCAGGGAAACTGGAATAGGGAAGGGAGTTCCACAGGCGAGAGGTGCAAGACATGAAGCTATTAGAGTAGAAGAGACGGCTACATTTAGTAGTTTCGACAGTGAAAGGGTGAGAGCGGGATGCCAGCCTCGTAGGGCGCTTGAATTTATGAAGTCTGGGAACCAGCGAAGGCAGCTCATTGGAGCAATTAGCATGAAAGTATCTGTAAAAAAGACAGAGAGAGGCGACGGCGCGTCTGTGAGAGAGTGACTGTAGACGAGATGCCAGAACAGGGCCAATTATATTGCATATCCGCCTCTGGATCTTATCAAGAACTCCGAGGCAAACAGAGGGGGCTCCAGACCATATATGGCAGCAATACTCCATGCAAGGGTGAATGGTTGATTTGTAGATCTGGAGTATCGATTCCGGGGAGAAAAATTTCCTGGCGCGGCACAGGGAGCCAACTTTCCTCGCCGTGGACGAAGCAATTGACTCAATGTATTTGTTCCATCTCAGGTCAGCAGTCAACGTGAGACCGAGCAGCCGCAGAGAGTTGCTCTCGAGAAGTTGAGCGTCAGACATTCTAATGGGGAGGGGCAGGGAAGGATCTCTGTGGTGATTAATTGAGAGCAGTTTTGTTTTTGAAGCATTAAAGTTGACCAGCCAATTCCTGCCCCAGTTCACAACCGATTGGAGGTATCTTTTCGAGACGCACGGCTTATCGCCAATATGTCCTTTGAGTGTCAAATTCTCCAAAGCCTTTTTCCTCATTACATGTGCCTGTTGTGTCAGCTTGTTAGGTAGGTTATTCCCTGTTTACCTCTGTCCCTTTTGCCTCCAATATGTCATGTGAATGTCAAATTCTCCAAGCCCTCTTTCCTCATATGTTGCTGTTCTGTCATCCATTTACACAAATTCGTTAGGCAGGTTACTCGCTGTTTTTCTCTGTCCATTTTACATTCACTGTCTTGTGAGTGTTAAATTCGCCATTCATCTATCCTCGTTATGAGCGCTTGTTGTGTCATCCATTTACACAAACTTGTTAGTTAGCTTATTCACTGTTTCTCTCTATCTCTCTTGCCGCCAATATGTCCTGTAAGTGTTAAATTCTCCAAGCCCTCTTTCCTCATTATATGTCTTAGAAATTTCAACTCTCTTTCTGGTGTTAAGTATAAGTGCACTTTTTGTTTCCATTTTCTCTAAAACTTTGTTCAGTCCATGATAGTCTCAGCATCCTTCTGTAGAACTACATTTCTGCTGGCTCAAGTCTCTTCTTCATCAGCCTAACATTCACTGAACAATTGCCATGAAAGTATTTGTAAAAAAAAAGACAGAGAGAAGCGACGGCGCGTCTGTGAGAAAGTGACTGTAGACGAGATGCCAGTGTGTTATCATATAAATAAGTGTGTTATCATATAAATAACAGTTCAATATTTTTGTTCTAACGAAATTTTCCTGTTTCTTTATTCTTTGCTTAACTTTTGGAAGGCAATTTCAATACGTCTTTGGATTTCTGTGCCATATTTTCTCTCGTCTGTTAAGACACTTCCCAAATGTTTAAATGTTCGTACTTGTTTGATTTTGGTATCTCCAATGTATAATGCGCATCTTGGACTGTTCCTCTGGCTGACAACCATATATTCTATTGTCTTGCAAGTGATACATAATCCTTTCTTCCCGCTTTACTACCTTCTGTACGAATTTCCGTAGTTTCCTTTCTGTGACTGCTTATCAACACTGCATCATCTGTATACCTTTTAAGATTGTGTCCGTCAATAATGTTGTAGAGTGGTTTCACAGTGGAGGCTTGTGTTTCACTAAGTCGGTCCTAAAAAGGTTCGACGTACAAAACGTTAGGAACTTGATATAAGAGTTAATGACGCAGCAATCTAGTTGTGGTGGTTGATACTTTAATGTCCGACATCGACTGACTCACCAACTCACTGAGAGCTCCCTCTGACGACTGCTACTACTACGACTTATTATATGTGGGAGAGTCTATTAACAATAGAATAGGTATGTTCCAGTATAACAAATAATAAATCTTGGTCGGACCTCTAGTTCTATCAATATCGCCTCGCTGTAAATATGGCAACATTACTCCATTTTTGGCCTTATCTGACTCCTGTAAAGGTAGAGGATAGAAGGAGGAGTCAGTTGCTTACTGGAACAGTACAGGGAGCCGACCCTTTTACGTGCATCCTTAGCAATGGATCGCATGTACAAATTCCAATTGAGGTCAGGGGCGAGTTTGAGCTTACGAAAACGTGATAATGACTATTTACACTATTAACCTGAATCAACTGGCATATATGTCTGGTCAGTATAGGTTTTTTTGCTCATCAAAAAGACAACTGGAGAAGATTACAATGTATATATATTGAATCACCTCTGTTACATGGTTTGCTGGGAATGAGTTGGTCAGTATATGAGCTTTCTTTCTGTTTGTACCAATTTCTGAAGCAAAGAAGACCTTCCCATGAATTGAATACCTGAAGAAGGTTGTAGAATGGTACCACCAGAATGTGGTATGAAGAAAAGCAACACAATGAAATACTGCAATCCTTTGTGCATAAATGAATTGCTACAAGTCTCTGATGTATTTCTTTTAGGGATTTTCTTTTATCTAGAATTGCGTTTACACTCTGAAAAGGCAAACTCATCAATTAAGGGAATGAAAAATATTATCAACATCAGTAATACAGAGCTGGATAAATGCCTCAGCCTTCCTAGAAAAATAATTGTAAAATATAAAGGCAATGCCATTATTCATCATTGTTGGAGAGCATAACAAATCCTGAAGACCTTTACAAAAAAAAATAAGCGAAAATAAAAATGGGGGAATTTAAGATCTGATGAAAAATTGAAGCTATTGAGATAACATTACTGAAATGAGTAAATGCATTGAAAAAGATATGATTTACTATCATTTCATTTGATCTTCAGTAAGAGCTCTCTGATACTATTTATGTGAAGATTCATTAAAAAGTAATATCATTATCATCATCAGTTTACCTTTGTGTATAGATTGCTAGGGAGTATAAGACAGTTAAAAAAAAGCAGAAAAATTCCAAGGGAGGGTAAAAGCTTATTTCCATGTACAAAATGCATCTGGTTTTAGAGTTAAGAAAATGACCAAAACTTGTGAAAAAGGAAGAGGAAATAGGAAAGAAAAGGGACATTTTGTTTATTTTTGTGATTCATAAGCATTGCGAAAACGTGATAATGTTTCTTGTGAATACGTTTGTGATTCATAAGCTTTATGAAAATATCATATTCAGTAATTGGTTGTTTGCAAAACTTTCTAAAGATGTTTATTGTGAAATATTCATTTATTGCCTTTCAATGAAGCATACCTTTTGGTTGAGTTTGTCCCTGATTAGTTATCTCACTTCATTTTTTTCTTTTTTTTTCTTTTTTTTCTTTTTTTTTTTGCTTGGCCTTTTACCTCTTATTTCATCTTTCTCTCTCTCTCTCCCTTCCTCTCTCTCTCTCTCTCGCTGTCACTAATTCCTTAGCTTCCTTTCTTTCTCCACATGTAAATTGTTTACCTTTTATGGGAAACTTTCCAATGACGGAAGTGAAAGGTATGCTTCGTTAACTGCATTTCGGAATAAAATATTTTATTAGCATTATGATCTCCACCTGCTGAAACGTTAAAAGAAATTTTTTAACGTTGAAACAAGATGTACAGTTTTGTAGTGGGTATATGCATGTTCTAATGTAACACTGTATAATATATATATATATATATATATATATATATATGCATTAGTTTAACCATAATGGATAATTTTTTCACGTTCTAAAGAATGCTCAGCACATTGTCAACCGTTTTGTATTTAAAAGCATAATGAAAAAAATTACGGTAATGGATTACAACGCACAACTTTGTATAAATATTTATATTAATGAACAACATATAGTTTTTTATTACTTGCACTCCTGAAGATGATCTTAGAAGAAGATCGAAAGTACTTGGGAAATGAAAATAAAAGAAATTTAAACAGCTATAGCACATTTCTCTCATCTAACATCAATACACGGAAGGTTATTCGTGAGTATGAACGGATTTTGTTAAAAATTAGCAAACATAAAGTCTGTAATTTATTCAATTCACTCAAACATGCCTAAAAGAGAATTTGCTACCTAAATACGCCCCCAGATATATATATATATATATATATATATATATATATATATATATATATATATATATATTTAGTTTTGATGTATACTCATATTCCAGTAGGTGTTCTTTTTTTAAATTAAATAGTATTTTATCCAATTTCTACCAGCCTGAATATCCGAGAAATCTTATCAGAAAAATATGCGATGTCAAAAATTTCTCGAATATTCAGGTCGGTAGATGTAGTTGGATAAAAAGTACCACTTAATTAAAAAAAACTCGAAAATGAGTATACACAAAAATAACGTTTAAACAAAATAAATTAAAAATAAATAAAAATATGTCGTATTTAATAATATTTATATATATATATATATATATATATATATATATATATATATACACACACACGCACACACAGATATATATATATATATATATATATATATATATATATATATATATATGGCATAAGGGTATATAAATTTGTATATACAGTTCAACCTCGGATCTTGAACGTCACACAAATCGGTTTTCGAACAGAAAATTTGAGATGAAAATGCCTCGGTTATCAAACAAAATTTCGGTCCTCGAACAACATTGCCGAACCTAGTTAATCTGAATGGAACCATTTCTGAGTCGACCGCCATGTTGTATACATTCGTGTGTTGTGCTGTGCTATTTTTTAGCAAACGAGGTAGTTTGGTATACCCTAACCCCAGTGTAGTTCAACCATCATGATGTATCTTATACCTATGGCTTTATGGAAAGATAAGCTATATATAAGATATATTTTGTGATGTCCACGAATACTCGTTGTCATTTGCGTAATGCTCGTTGCAGTAGAGACTTTGTAATCGCAGATACAACTATAGTAACGCCGTTGAACAATACTGGTGCCAGACGCCTTCGAATATCACTCGCACTAATAGTACTTGCTTGATAATACTCGCTCGTATAGTAATCTGTATAGTGTTCCGAATAGAGAAATAGTATAGTGAATAGAGTAGAGAATAGCGGTCCATATAGTAATAAAGAATAGAGTAGAAATAACAATCCGAATAGTAATAGAGGATAGAATAGAAATGCGATCGTTAGTTGTCACGCGACTTCCTACTTATGTGTTTCCTTTATGGCCACGTGGTCTACTTAATTCAATAATGGGATCGCCTATGTTTGCTCAATTGGTGATCTGTTCAAACTCAAGTATCGACAGTGACATTTTATTCTTATACAACACTCTACAAATCACAAGAAGGTATACGAAATATACAACAGAAAACCCACAAAAAACGGAATCTACGATCCTAGTTCGACAAAGAGTACTGAAAAATTACATGATATCTGACCTCCTATATAGCAGTGAATGCATGGTGCTTAGCATAAAGATCTGCCCAAAAGGCAAATTATAAATCGTTTGGCATATTCAGTCAGTTATGGGTCATGTGTTATACACGCTTAGGCGATCATGTATCTTTCGATACATGACTGACGAGGCAGATTTTTTTTTCCCGCAGTAGGTTGCCATTTTTTCCTGTGGTAGACCAGTTGGCATCCAAGGCTATAGAACTCGGTCTGTCCTGCTATTTACCCATAGCTGGAAGAGAGAGAGAGAGAGAGAGAGAGAGAGAGAGAGAGAAGAAGAAGAAGAAGAGAATTCATACGTTTCCCAAGAGTATAAAGCATGTAAGTGAATGTAATGAATTCGACTGGAATTCGACTCTCCGATTCCTCAATCCGAGCCGCTATCCATTACTCCAAGTTACATGTACTGCCCATTTTAGTTGTTACTGCTGTTGTAAGTCCTCAAGTGATATGGTTTCTGTTATTTGATATGGTTATTTGTTATTTTGTAGCACCTGTTCACAAAAGGAGTGTTCTCAATAATGCTTGGAGAATCTTTATCAGTCAGTTATGTGTCATGCGTGATACACGCTTAGGCAATCACGTCTCTTTCGATACATGACTCATGAGGCATATTTTTTTCCCCACAGTAGATTGCCATTTATTTCTGCTTTACCATCCAAGGTTATAGAATCCGGTATGTCCTGCTATTTACCCATAGATGGAGGCGGGGTGGGGAGAAGAAGAGAATTTATACCTTTCCCAAGAGTATTAGCACGTAAGTGAATGTAGTGAATGTAGAATTCGAACTCGGTTCACCGATTCCTCAATCCGAGTCGCTATCCATTACTCCACCGTCGGATCTATCAAAATCAGACAAGTACAAACATTTAAATATCTGGGAAGTGTTCTAAAAAAGGGTGAAAATGCGACTCTGAGATCCGAATTGGGATGGTCAAAGATGCCTACCAAAAGCTAAGCAGAATACAAAGAATAAAATAGTGAACGGTTACGTGATATCAGTCCTCTTATATAGCAGTAAATGCCGGAAAATCTCCTCAAAGATGAAGAAGACACTTAAAACAATAGAAATGTGGTTCTACAGAAGGATACTGAGAATAGCATGGACCGAACGTGTGAGCAACGGCGAGGTTTTAGGGAAAAGAAAACATACTTACCATGAGGAAGAGACAGTTGAAACGTTTGGGGCACATAATGAAGAAAGTGGGCTTGGAAAATCTGATACCCACAGGACAGACTGAGAGCAAGCAGGACAGAGGTAAACATACTTAGCGATCTTCAGTAAATGGATGGCGGAACAGGGTTTAGGAGAAATAGCGAAATGACAAAATTTATTAAGAGCTACAAAGGACAGGAAATTGTGGAGAGCCATGATCGCCTACGTCCTGGGGGGGATACGGCACATAAAGAAGAAGAAACATGAAACAACTCATCTCTGTCCTGTCTACGGATGATTCGAAACGCGCTTCTGACGTGCCAAGATGGCTGACCGTACGGTCATGTCAGCCGGCCACTACCTACTCTATATTTCTTGATTAAGAGATGAGAGATAATGGCGAGTAGCTTTGTCTTCAGATGATATGAAGGAGAAATCAATTATGATACTTCAGCGATTTCTGAGTTCTTGGGACCCCTTAGTGTAAAGAGAGTTGCACATCACAGAAAACAACGTGCAAAGACACACAATCAGCATGTTTCAGCGTAAATCATGTCTAAAATGAATCATGTTTAAAGTGCATCATGTGTAAAAGGAATAATGTCTAAAATGCATTATGTCTTAAAGAATCCCGTCGAAAATACACCATGCGTAAATTGTATCATATCTAAAATGCATCATGTCCAAATTGCATAATGTCTAAAATGAATCATGTTTAAAGTGCATCATGTGTAAAAGGAATAATGTCTAAAATGCATTATGTCTTAAAGAATCCCGTCGAAAATACACCATGCGTAAATTGTATCATATCTAAAATGCATCATGTCCAAATTGCATAATGTCTAAAATGAATCATGTTTAAAGTGCATCATGTGTAAAAGGAATAATGTCTAAAATGCATTATGTCTTAAAAGATCCCGTCGAAAATACACCATGCGTAAATTGTATCATATCTAAAATGCATCATGTCCAAATTGCATAATATCTAAAATGCATCATTTTTAAAGTACATCATGTCTAAAATTCATCATATCTAAAAGGCATCATATCTAAAGTGCATTATGTCTAAAATGCATCATGTCTCAAATGCATCATGTGTAAAATGCATTATGTCTAAAGAAAATGCGTCATGTCTAAAAATGCATCATGTCTCAAATGCATCATGTTTAAAATGCATTATGTCTAAAGTGCGTCATCTCTAAAATGCATCATGTCTCAAATGCATCATGTCCAAAATATAATGTAAAATGCATTTTGTCATCAAAAAGTGAATAATGTCTAAAATGCATCATGTCTAAAATCCCGCAAAATCATGTCTCAAATTGCATCATGTCTAAAAGGCATCATATCTAAAGTGCATTATGTCTAAAATGCATCATGTCTCAAATGCATCATGTGTAAAATGCATTATGTCTAAAGTGCGTCATGTCTAAAATGCATCATGTCTCAAATGCATCATGTGTAAAATGCATTATGTCTAAAGTGCGTCATCTCTAAAATGCATCATGTCTCAAATGCATCATGTGTAAAATGCATTATGTCTAAAGTGCGTCATCTCTAAAATGCATCATGTCTCAAATGCATCATGTGTAAAATGCATTATGTCTAAAGTGCGTCATGTCTAAAATGCATCATGTCTAAAATACATCATGTGTAAAGTGCATCATGTCTAAAGTGCATCATGTCTAAAGTAGATATGCGATTACATATAATACGTTTACAACAGTATTACGTCAAACTAACAAACCAAACGAATGTTTTTTTCGCTACGTCGAATTCCAATCGAGTTCATTACATTCAGTTATGAGCTAATACCATTGGGGAAGGTAAGAATCTAACTTTTCTCCAAATAGCAAGACTGACTAGGCACTAGAGCTTTGGGTGGTAACCGGTCTAGGAGAAAGAAAACTACGAATTCAAAACCTGCGGACAGTCGTTTGGGTACCATGTGGCATATTGTGCGACAGTTCTCCGTATACGGCTCTTCCAAAAAGTGTGGTTGGTTCTGCACAAGGCTTCATCACTATAATCAATATAGCTGTTTGTTCTAACAACTGAGCTGCTTGACCCTAATACATCGAAAACAACGAGAGAGTCCAGTTTATATATATATATATATATATATATATATATATATATATATATATATATATAATTTAAAGTTCTTCACATTAAATTTTTAATTTTCTTTTATAATGTGTATTGAGCACTTTTTGATACAACTGTTTCCTGGTTTAATTTAACTCAGACCAATAACTGTTCTATCTATCTATCTATCTATCTATCCACACACACACACACACACATATATATATATTATACATATTATATATATATATTATATATATTATATACATATTATATATATATATTATATATACATATTATAATATATATTACATCTACATATATATATATATATATACATATTATATACATATATGTATGTACATATTATATATACATATTATATATATATTATATATATATATACATATATTATGTACATTATATATACATATATATATAATTTATAAATACATTATAAATATATATTATATATACATTATATACATATACATATATATATATACATTATATACATATATACACACATATACATACATATATATATATATATATATATATATATATATATATATATATATATCACGTTAAACATTATTATTAGTGGATACTTTTCTTTTAGTAGACGTTATATTCATATATTAAAAATATATTTTTGCAAATTTTTTTCGGAAATTTCAAGAAATTATATTAAAGAAAAACTTGCGCTCTTTGGCAGGAATCGAACATGCATTCCTCAGGTGTAGAGAGAGCCAACTTTTATCCCCTTGCGCCTATCCCGCTTTCAGGCTGGTAGGTGATAATAAATATACTTTTTAATATATAAACAGAGCGTCTACTCAAATACGTGTATCCACGAATAATAACGTTTAAAGTGATAAAAAAAAACGTGCTTATATCCTTGGGAAAGGTATTAATCGAACTCTTCTCCTCCCAACTATAGGTAAATAGTTGGACAGACTGGGTTCTATAGCGTTGGGTGGCAATCGTTCTAGAAGAAAAAATCTGAATTCAAAATTGCAAGGAAAGAATCGTTCGCATTGATTCGATGATCCCGACTACGGTCGACTCATTTTTTAATCTCTAATGATCATATGGTGCAAAATATTTTCCGAATCATCCAGTTGATTTTCTTTATTTTTGTTTGTTTTTCATATAGATATCAGATAACGATATATATATTTTATAGTGATTTTCCAGGCGTAGCTTAGATGTGGCACAATGCCGAAACTAGGGGGCACCCAGTGAGGATCGAACTCACTACTCAGTCGTAATTGTTCTAGCGAGACAAGCTTGCTAACCATTACACCGCCCCGAGGTGTCCAACGTTTTTCTAAGCATAGCTTAGATGCGGCACGAGCCGAAAGTGTGGAGCACCCAGTGAGGATCGAACTCATTACTCAGTCGTAATTGCTCCAGCAAGACAAGCATGTTAACCATTACACCGCCTCGAGGTGCCCATATTTTTATATATCAAGAATTGTATTTCTTAAATTTTATGACAAAGTGAAAAAGGATTACTTGTGAGGATTTCATCAGGACTAAATTTGTTATCCTGGTAGGACTACAGATTTCATCAGGACTAAATTTGTTATCTTGGTAGGACTACAGATTTCATCAGGACTAAATTTGTTATCTTGATAGGACTACAGATTTCATCAGGACTAAATTTGTTATCTTGGTAGGACTACAGATTTTATCAGGACTAAATTTGTTATCTTGATAGGACTACAGATGCAGAAGATCTTTCAACTTTTTTCACCATATTAGAAGATCGTTTTTTAACATTTCAGCATTACTTGCAGATCTTCTAATATCACAGTGTGGAATAGCTACTTACAAAAGTGATGAAAATAAAAATAAAAAGTCTCTAAATGAATTCAACTAGATAAAAAAAAATCTAAAATTCCCTGCACTCTGTCATGCGCATGTATAGTCCTATCAACATAACAAATTTAATCTGATGAAGTCCTGAAGGACGAATCGTGTTATAAACTTTTTCCATTTTGTCATAGAATTTTCTCAAATAGATATATAAATTCTGTAGCATATA